TGACCTAATGGATAGAGTGGAAAACTTTTTTGTTACAGCGCTGACCTACCATTTTTATCACTTTATTGAAAGGACTATGAAATGCGCTTTCCACTGACATGCGAAGAGTAATTAAGTGTTTGATAACCTTTTGACCCTCAAGAGGATGGTTAAACATGGATTTGTTGACTGTTAACAAAGGACTGAACTGTGTTTGATGGTACTTGTGCTGAGAGGGTCTTTGTCCCCCAGGGTACTGCCGGAACGTAACCTGGGTACGGTCCGGTATACCGGAACGTACCCTGGTAACTATTTGATATGGTTAGGGTTAAGGTTAGGATTAGGGTTAGGGTTAGGGAGTAGGCGTAGGCGACTCCCTAGACTCGTTAGTGGAGTAGGCGAGGTACGGTCCGGCATATTAGATAGTACCAGGGTACGTTCCGGCAGTACCCTGGGGGACATAGACCCTCTCAGCACAATTAAGTACCATCTAACACAGTTCAGTCCTTTGTTAACAGTCAACAAATCCATGTTTAACCATCCTCTTGAGGGTCAAACGGTTATCAGACACTTACTCTGCGCACGTCAGTGGAAAGCGCATTTCATGGTCCTTTCAATAAATTGATAAAAATGGTAGGTCAGCGCTGTAACAAAAAAGTTTTCCACTCTACCCATTAGGCCATGTCCTCAGAAAATGTCTGATATCTGACCTTTCCCCCACTGCCCAATGACCTGTGACCTCCAATTTCGCACTGGTGATGGGTTTCCTGCCCATCACACTATACACCAAATATTAAGAGCATAGGTCGAGCCGTTCAGATTTGTGCTGTAATTCCGTATTTCCTCCTATACCTTAAGTTAAGGGGGAAATATTCCCCCTCCGTTGACACATCTTGACCTTTGACCCTTGACCCCCAAATTGGTCATCCCGAGTCCTTTTCACGATCCCCCCCGATGTCCCGAATATCGTGACTGTACGTCGAGCGGTTAAGATTTGTGCCCAACTGTAGGACGGACGCACGAACGGACGCACGGACGGACAATCATGCAATTCTACAAGCTGCAGAACAGTCTTCTCGACTGTCGTACGGACTCTTGCTTACCTCGCCAAACTTGTGGAACACCAAGTAATCTTCTGCTGTGGGCTTCAACTGTCCTGACTTTAGCGTGCTTCCTATCAGCTGGAAGAGATGCAAGCATGTGTTATGCAGAGAATGTGAATACTGTCTTGCCTACAGATAAACTTTAAAACAAATGGTTACGTACATCAAAGAAATCCATTGATTTCCATCATTGATTTTTAATAATATATTAGCATCGTCCCTGGACAAAACACGATGTAGTTATCACATTAAGGTAACTCGATCTTTAGGTCACTTGAACATAGATTGAAACGGGAGTTGCCAGACCAGTTTATGCTCCTGAACTTTTGTAACTGTCTATGGCTGAATGAATTTCGTGCTAGTAAAAACTTATAGGAATGATATATAATGACTAAATACCTTGTCTTTCATATACTCCATCAGTCCTGCCTTGGTGGACGTGGGATGCATTAGAATTATTCCGAGACAGCGCTTTGGATGCACGAGCTGAAAGACAGTAGCTGTCATTACAAATGCATTTTTCTCCACACCCCAAAGTTCACTCTAGTATCTATGTTTTCTTAGATAGCTAAATAAATCCACTATCATAGCATGTATAACAGTCATGTATAATGTAACTACATGTATAACTGTCACGTATACTGTCACTAAATATTTTACTGTCACATATAACGTCACTAAATGCATAACTGTCCCGTATATAACGTCACTAAATGTATAGCTGTTTGTTACGTATGCCTTTAAATGAATAAATGTCACGCATAACCTCACTACATGTGTAAGTATGAAGGACTAACAGCGAATCGAGCAAGGATGTTGGCTCCTGTTCCATCACCAAATCCAACAACGTAGGTGATTCGTAGCTGGTCGAGCACACACACCAGCTCGTTACCAAGCTGATCCATGGTCGGAAACTTGAAGCTGTAATAAAGGTACAGATGCAGCAGTTAATTACCAACTCTTCAGAGAGTCGTCAACTCTTCTCACGTTACCATCACCCTGATTATTGCAATCCCCGTGATATACATATGCCATATAGATACCCCTACGGAGTTGCTCTATTCCTATTTGGACCTGAGAGTTATATAAATCCATAAAAATCTAACCATGGTATCTAGAGAAACACAGGAGGATTGATTCAGTATGTAAAACCAGGTGACCAGTGAATTAATGCAGTACATGCAGAGATATGTAACTGCTCTGTATTTTGAATTGCAACACCTTTGACTGAAATATTCATTATCATAACGTCTTTCACTGCTATTTGAAGCTGAATGGTATTGCACTGCTATTGCTATCTGAATAGCAACGTACTCATTGCTATAATATTCCTCACTGCAATATTGCCAATTAATATCACAGTAATATCATTCACCGCAGTACTCATTAACATAACTTTCCTAACAGCAATATTGCCAAATGAAACGTGGTTTAGAAGAATATTCTACGTTTTGATATCCCACAATGCACGTAGGATCCTCACTGCAGTATCACTATGGCAAGAACCCTAAACGAACTATTCGTTAGCTGCCAAAGCAATCATGGCAATTCAAAGCAGACGTGTGATCGACATTCTGTGACATGTTACACTGGAATTCTGTTACAGGCCTTACCAATGAAGTATACTTGACAGTGAGCTAAGCAGCCACACCGCATATATAGCACCCTTTTACGGATGAAGTACTTCTTATGTCTTGTAAGAAATTCTCAAAGAACTTACTTGACTACTGGTTATAAGAAGTTATTATGAAGAGAAATGTGACTAGACATAATGATAGGAAACAGACTAGTGACTACAAATGACCCTGTGGAAGAGAAATTACCACTGTAACCAGGATTTTTATAATACATGGGAATTCACAAGATAACGGCGTATGTGTCAGCCCACATATTATCATACAATACTTTGCTAGTGGAAATGATGGAGACAAGTCTATGGACAGATTAGCTTTGAGCTAATGCACTTGAGCAATAGTTATATTCAAAGACGTTTCAAGACGAATGAAATTAAAATAAGTTCCCATGAAATGATGCTTCAACACACTCCCATTACTGTACACATGAAATCGTAAGAATTTTCGTTTATCTGCAACATGCTAAAACGCCCTAGTGTAGGAAATCCAAAGTAAGTATGGTTTGACTCTACTATGCAGAGTACAGATCAGGTGAACGAAGGGTAATGGAGAGACAGATATATATAGCCACAGTTTGGGATTGAGTATCACTATGATGTCACAACGATTGCATACGTCTCAGGTAGGTCCTCAGCGCCATCCACCTGGCCAGGCAGCACAACATGTACTATTGTCGAGCGTGAGCAAATCTCTGACATAGATGGATGCGAAAGGAAGGCGTGGAAGCTTAGGTCTGCAAGAATGTAAAAGCAATAACGAGTTATGCATCGACCTAATTACACGGCATTTGCCATGAAGTGGGTTTCTTACAGCAACGAGATAGTGATTAAAGATTGATGTCACGACAAGAATGAATAAATGACCCGAACTGATCGGTATTAGATAGCCTGGATCATTTGAAGTCGGTTGCACAGTACAGTACAGATACTACTAAGGTGGACACTGGGTAGACACTTAAGATACGTACGGTTTGACCCCATGTCATGCACTGTGAGGATAACAGTCTTCTTCGCTGCGAGGTTCCCCTAGAAGCATACATTATACATGTTTACTAACAAAAAATGCATCTATGCCCTACCATGAACCCATGAATGCATATATACATTCATAGGTAACTGCAACTACTTGTTAAGTTTCAATACATTTTAGACTAATTAATATAGACGTGAAAGGTTACAGCCACTAGAAACTCTACACATGCTCGTTTTTATGCAGCCCCAACACGCTCGTTATTGTTGTTGCACCAATAAACAAGCTAAGGGGTTATGTAAGCACATCAACAAAGCACTACAGGCTTTTACGAACTGTTATTTCAATATTACTTGACTCGATTGCCTTAATTTATCTGATTAATGTACATTTTTAAACTACTAAATTTTTTAATGAGGTAGTAAAGCAGGTGAACTGTAGTCTCATATACACGCACAAGCTCAGTGAATACATGTTGGACACATGTTGACAGTAGATAGACCAGTGTTGTAGTGGTAAATTATTTTTTGGGTACACTCCCTTATACTGATAGCTCAATCCTCAAAGCAACAAGCCAACGACGAGGCGCTGCGCCGTGGTGGTGATTCACAAACACAGTGCCCCCCCCCAGTGATCCAACCCTGACCAGATCAAAATTACAAAGAAACAAACACAAACAAATCATCTTTCACAATAAATATCACCACAAAATTTCAATGTAAGGTTTTACAAAAGGCATCAAAATTTGAAGCATTGGTGAGTCATATCTTCAGACCAATCCTTCCATAAGCCCTATATGTCTAAATTTACCAAGACACAAAATAATCCAAAAATGATCAAGTCGGTGTCATAGTATTGATTTTCTAGTTCTAGTGTCTGCAATACTCATCAAATGTAATATAATTATAATGATAATGATAAGGTAATTTAATTGTTTATACAGATTTTTATAAGACACACTGTCATAGACCTCCAAATGTTTTGTTTGGTAAAGAGGCAATGTACAAGTAGACCATATCCTTACTCATTTCGTACATTTTGTTGTGTATCTTGAACAAAATATTCATGAAGATACATACACAGTGTTAATAACATTCACTTTTTTACTTTTGTATGTGTAATTTTGATTATTAAACACAACAAACTGTTTAACAATTAACTATAATTCAGGTGTGATTTTTGAGACCTGACTTAGTTTTAGAAGTGAAAATACAAGTATAGTAAGTTTGCAGTTCATAATTCGACTAGAGTCTACTAGATAAATCTACTACTACTAGAGTCTACATTTAACTTTTTGTATTTATAGCCTAATTATTTTTTTTAGGTATACGTGCGTATACCCAAAAATGTCCTTTTTTTTAAGTATACGGCGTATACATAAGTACCCTCCACTACATCACTGAGATAGACATGTTTTAACAAGAGCTAAAAATACAAACTGAAACTATTATTACTATTAGCGGTTGATGTTAGCATCACTTACCTGAACGTACACGTCAACATTGCCACAAGATTCCGTGGCAATGACATGGTGCTGCAACATCAATAAAAAATCTGTTTAGACATGAGACATAGAAATTAAAAGTTAATGTTTAAATTTGAATGTAAGTTTACAATACCAGCATAACAGTGTACCAAATATGGGGTTTCACATGATATATGTGTCAGGAAATGGTATAAGATGAATGAAGGAAATCCCCATTACACTATATGGGTACGCATCCTAGAACAAAAATATCAGAATCTGCAATTAAAATGTAAAATAATTTAGTAATTGTACCACTAATATTACCCACTAACAATTAATATGTTTAGAATTATTTTTGTTTCGGGTTTTAGTTCTATATGATCAGAACAAATATTATTTTTAACGTTATCAGAATCGCCATTCAATTGTTTTTTTTTGTAAATCGATAAGATGTTCGATAAGGGAACTCAATTGAGCTCGCACACATCTTACATGAGGGTCATATTTACACAGAGTGATATATGTGTTTAGCAGCTGGATGTGTACGCTCAAGTTCATATAACGGTAAATACCAGCAGGTTAGCGGAGGTTAAGTAGGACCAAACTATCTCGACTACAGACAGCTATATATACATAGTGGCGAATTTACAACACGGCTGGAGAGTATATCTGATGCACTGACTGCGCGCGAAATATGAAACAAATCAATATTAGGACTACGTAGCAATAACCCACATTTCAGATATAAACATACCATGTTTTGGTCGCGATGGAACCCAGGCAACGCCGGGTCCCGCAATAGTCGCATACTAATGCGTGAGCTGAATCACACACACACACATCCACAGCGGTCAGCGGATGGTCTGTAGTTTTAGAAGATGACAATGATTATATATAGACGATATTCTAGGAATTGGAGATTATAAAACAGTAAAAAAACCGCTCAGTTAGGCTCCAGATTAGCTGAATAAAAAAGATGAGAATTTAATATGAACAAAACAAATACAATGGTTATAAAATTCACAAACAAAGAAAAGATAGAGAAGGAGATAATAATACTAATAGGCAACCAAGTAATCAAGTAATAAAAAAATGCAACAAATATTCATACCTAGGGGATTTAATTAATGATATAGGAGGTTATAACGATATGATAAGAGTTCGAACTGAAAAATGTAAGTTCATGATGAGGGAAATATTATCATGGGCAGAAGAGCAAAAATTCCAAAATGATGGAAATCATACTATAGAAGCAAGAGTGAAATTATAGGAATACACAGTTTTACCTTCCTTCCTAAATAACGGTGAAACATGGACTAACTTAAATAAGGAAGAAGTAAAAATAGCTGACTCTCGAACCATGGTACACCTGAATTTGTTACTGTTCACCCAGGTTTTCAGACGTACAAGTCTTAAAATGAAAAGTAAAAGTCTAAAAGTCTAAAAGTGAAAATCAAAAGTTTAAGTCTAAGTAAAGCTCTAAAAGTGAGGAAATCACGAGCGAGGATTTTGACAGTGACGTCATTCCAACCTCTGTCGTGCAGTGTGCATTGTTTTGCTAAAATGTTCGATGAATGACGCACTCGTTCACTTCCGATAGCGAGTGAAAATGCCGAAAATTTTCCTCTTCGATGCAAAATGCACCGGCCGGGCATTTTATTATTTACGAAAAGTAAACAGGCTGGCGAAAGACAGTAGGTACAGGAACTGGTCACGTCGGTGACGCCCCATTCATGTCCATCAACGAAGAAGGCGGGGCTTATTCTGATTACGGAGATGCGAAAATGCAACAGAAGGACGTAGCGCAGTGCGCTAAACAGCGTGTTATTTTCGTTTTTGTGGCAAACTCTATCGTAGCTAGGAAACCGTTCTAACATAG